AAAAGAGTTTTGCAGTTTTAGGTTACAGTAACACAGGGGTCTTTCATACAGCCATGTTGCAGTACACTGGAGCCATAAGGCGTACCACAACTGCTGCAATCTGATTGTACAATCTTCTTTAGAACAACCAACAACTATGTAGTGCAAGGGACTTTTTGATTGGATACAAATGAATTAGGGAGGTCCTCATATTGCATAGTTTTGGTGAATCTAGCTGATTGTACAAAGATAGCGCTGGCAGATTGCAACATTTATGGTGACCCTTAGATGATACTGCTTTGAAAAGTATCACACAACTAAAAAATGGTGCAAATGCCATTCGGTATTGTCACCAAGCCTACAGGGTTTATTACTGCAGGCTAAGAGGCTGTTTTCTTTGAAAGGGAATTTTTACTTTGCGAGGCTATTTTCCCTTAGCTTAGTGAATAAGATAAAGCTCTGCTGATCATCCAATCACGTGCGGGCAAAGATTTGTTGTCTCCACCCTTGCAAATGATTAGGTATTCTTTGCAAACTGAATTGTCACCACATTCACCGAGCTAAGTGAAAATGTCCTTGCAAAGTGAATAGCCTATTTGCCTTTAACAAAACAACACCATTGAGTCTGTAGGGCTGATTTGCACTTTGGAAGCAAATTTGTACTTTGCCGGGGAATTTTACTTTAGCTTGGTGAATGTGGTGAAATTATACCCAATCATGTGGAAGGAAATAAAACAAGCTGTATTTTTGATTGCACGATTGGGTGCAGAGATTCACCTCATTCACTAAACTAAGTGAAACTGCAAAGTGGAGGGGATTTGCAATAGCCAACAGCAAGCTGGCTATTGCACCCACCCTCTGCTGTTGTCAATCAGTAAAGGAGGACCTGATGGAGAACTTCAGGTCCACCTCTGCTGATTGACAGCAGCAGTGGGCAGGTGCAATAGCTAGTCTGCTATTGGCTATTTCAATTTGCAATAGCAATCTAGCTATTCGTTCCTATGCCGTTTATTTTTTTCTGACTGATGGTGGCCGGAGGCCCCGATGTCAAGAAAAAAAAAATAACAGAGCAGGGAAAGGTTTACTCTGCTAGATAAAGCAGAGTATACCTTTCAGGGAGAAAATAGCGGGAGACTCCCTGAACATCCGGGAGAGTTGGGATGTCTGGACATGTGACCATGCACATCATCTTAGGGGAGGAAAAGGCCTTTCCCTGTGATCTGGTGAGATTACAGATGAGATTTCGCAGAAATGCTCTGCTGACGTAAACTTCCCAAGATGCAACACTTTGGCACTTATCCTTTGTGCCAGAACTGGACCAGGAAGTAGATAAACTCTATTTGTAAGTAAATGAAAAACAAGTTTGTTGAATGTTATTTGATTTTATATCAGCATGCAGAGCTGCATGCTGATGTGATTTTTAGTAAAAGAGGGTAAAGGTCCACTTGAATGGATTCAAAATATCTATGCGAGTATACCCTTTCTTGCCCTTGGAGCTCAGTTCATGCAATGTAACTCCCTGACCAATGGATAAGTAAGGAGCCTGCACAGCCATAGGAATGCCGGGGATGTCTTCCTTAATGTAATACTTAGCTTGCACCTCTACATGGGAAATCCCGCCTCTCATGGTTGCGTAGCATTAGGCTGTCCATTGTTGCTAAGGCTACAGTCACCATTACAGGCCTGGCAGTAGCGTGTAGCAATAGTCTGACAGTCTGTCAAGTACATGAGCCCTGATCCCCTGCAGCAGCTGCTTTGATAATACAGCTGCATCCCCACAATACATGAACTCTGCCAATACCTCTTATTTCCTAGTGCTTTGTTCATGCTCCACTAGCACCTCACAAAATATACATATCTCTAAAAATAACAGTCACATCAGTATATATTTATATATCCGTATATAGGTATACTATATCAGTATATAGGATTATTATTATATATAAGTACAGTATACATTTATATATCAGTATATATCTTTACATTTATATATTTATTGTGACAGCGTCGACAATAGCAGTTTAGGGCTACGACAGAAAAGGGATTTTGCAAAGTCAAGCCCACCCCTCATGAAGTCCTTATTAACAAGCTGCAATTCATTTTCTTACACCCCTTATAGACCTACAACATTAAAAATGGATGCATTGTGTTAACAATTGCAGCTCTCGTGGGTCTCTGTGACCCATGTGGCCAGACAAATTTACTGCTATTTGTTACAAAGCTTCTATTGGAAACATGACTACATTATCAACTGTGTAGCAAAGCCCTGACTACACACTCTAAATGTAAAACAATTATTGGATCATATTTTATTGTAATAGTCCTCTGTAAGTTATCTCTAGAGTAATGGTAATCAGTACAGTATTATTACTGTAGAGGGTAACGCTATATGTTAATAACAAAAATGTAAGCAATAACATTACCCTGATGGTAAATGAGGGAACAAATCCCTGTTTAAAATTCTTATGTTTATAAGACTATGTTATTGTTATTGTTATTATTACCTTCAACTATGCTCTTTTGGTATATGGAAAGAAACACTTTGTTTTTTATTTAATTAAACAGTGGAAAAAAGGAATAATGTTCTATAATCTTCCCAACTAGTCACAGACTAGCTTTTTTGGGGAGCTTGAAGAGATAAAAGAGGGTTTCTGTTTGGTTGCTATAATTTCTTTACTGTCAATAAGGTTGCCACCTTTTCAGAAAAAAACATGGGCAACATGCAGCATACAGCTGGCAGTCTGGTAAAATACCAAAGAACAAAAAAGGACAGGGGAAGCGCCACAACCTGTCCTTTTTTGGTCTTTGAGGTACATACGTCGGACACCCCAGTCCGTACGAACTAGAAGCTGCACATCTTACTCCAGAGACCTCTCAATCCCCCCCC